TTCAAAATGGGTGACCTTGGAGGACATTATGTTGAGTGAAATATCTCAGTCACAAAAGGACAAATACTTTATGGTGCCATTCTTGTAGAATGAGGCTGACATAAAGGTGGGGGTAAGACTGAGAAAAACTGGATAACTTATGGATACGGCATTGAAGCTGATGAGGGAGAGAACAGTTTAAAAGTAATATACTTTAGGGCGCTATGATTATCATAAGAGTTCTGAATGAGGGTTGCAGAGTGGAGTACACTCAGGTTGGGGGTGGGGAGGATTGTATACCAATGATGAGTTTTTCTTTTGCTTTTCAAGGAGAAGAGGGAACTGGGGGTGAGGGGTGGCAGTGGGCGGAAAGAAAAGTGATAAAATGAATGAAAGGAAATCAAAGTAAATGTTCATTGAAATTAATAAACAAAATAAAGTTCATAGAGTTTCTGGAGGCAAGTTGTTTAGGAAGTAGATGCCCATCCTACTTCCAATAGATAGTAGTAATGATTGCAGAATTCTGTGAGTACACTAAAACCACTGAATGCTACACTTTAAAACAGAGAATTTAATGATGTGATTTAAATATCAATGTTGTTGTTGTTGTTATGTGCCGTCGAGTCATTTGTGACTCATAGCAACCCTATGTACAACAGCCCTAAACCCTGCTCTATCCTGTGCCAATCACACTGCCTCTGACACACCCATCCTGATGACCCCAGTCACTGAATCAATCCACCTCACAGAGGGTCTTCTCCTCTTGCGCTGTCCCTCCACCCTCCCAAGCAAGATGTCCCTCTCCAAGGACCAGTCCCTCCTTGCAACATGCCCAAAGTATGTCAGACGAAGCCCCAGAATCCTTGCCTCCAAAGAGTAGCTTGGTTTAACCCTCTCCAGGATGAATCTGTTTGTTTACTTGGCAGTCCATGGTACATTCAATACTCTTCTCCAGCATCACAGCTCAAAGGCGTCAATTCTCCTTCTGTCCTCTCTAGTCAATGTCCAACTCTCTGATGCATAACAAGTGATTGCAAAGACCATGGCCTGCATCAGGTTCACCTTAGTCTCCAAAGAGACACCGTTGCTCTTGAGTACTTTAGAGAGGTCCCTAACAGCAGACTTTCCCATCGCAGTACATTTTTTTTATTTCCTGGCTGCTGGTGCCAAATGTGTTGACTGTGGAGCCGAGCAAATTGAAGCTGTGAACAATCTCAATCTCTTCACCATCCATCCTGATGCTACCAATTGGTCCAGTGGTGAGAATCTTTGTCTTCTTGACATTGAGCCTCAGTCCATACTGAAGGCTGCAGGGTAGGTTCTCTTTATTTAGTTGAAAGTTGGCTGTAAACAGTTCCATTGTTTTCTTTCATTCACAATCATGTGTAAATTGATGGTCCCTCAAATTTAGTTAAGGATCAATTGTGGGCTGGAAGCTTCTTGTTTAAGTCAATCAGTACCTGATCAGCTGGTCTTTGTATTGAAAAGTAGCTTGAAAAAAGATTGTTTAAATGATACAGCACTGCTCTGTCAGTTTGCTATTGAGATAATTTGAGGTTGCTCTGATACTGAACACTGAGGCACTGGTGTGTCAAATGCTGTAATAGTTACCCAAGATGGACAGGGTTTGGTAGAGCTCCCATTATATGACAGGTTTAAAAATGATCTGCATCTACTTCTTAAACAACAGGCCTTTGGAAACTCTATGAACATTAGATAAACGACGATAGTTTATAAAAGATAGATCTTTTCTTCATAGATTCACTATGAGTCGTACTTGACTTGAAAGTACTTATCACCAACAACACAGCAGCACCAGATCCATGGTTTTACGACAAACTAACAGTTGCTTCTTAGGTGAAAGACGTGACTGCGTGCTTCTGTAAAGATAATTGCACTGGAAACCCAATGAGAAAATTACACTTTGTTTACGTGGTCTTTATGGATCAGAATCAACTAGATGACACACAATAAAATATATTTTTTACATCTCAAAAATCTTCCTAATGCAGCATCTAAGAAATTACTTCACTATTGTGCATCAATAAAGGAGGCATGGTGGTGCTCAGCTGCTGTATGCAATCCACAGCCATTCCACACTATGCTTTTCTACTGTAAAGATTGCAGCCTCGAAGGAATGATGAGGCAGCTCTGTTTCAGAATACAAGACTGTGATGATTCAGAGTCCACTGGATGGTGCCACTTCACAAGTAATTAATTATCCTTGTATACCCTAAAAGAATCGACGTCTTTGAATTTTAATGTTGGCACAGAATACCAAGTATATCATGGACTTTGAAAAGAACAAACAGGTCAGTGTTATAAGTGCAGTCAACTTGTTCCTTACTGTCAAGGATGATATGGCTTTATCTCACATATTTTGGGCACATTGTCAAAAGTAGCCAGTCCTTGGAAAAAAACATTATGCATTGAAAGGGAATTTAAAATTGTCATCAGTTTTTATTGATTTCACACTTGTTAAGTGCTAAGAAAAAAAAATAAATAAATAAACTTTTTCTCTGTCTTCTAGTTACTTGTATATTAAACCACAATAGAATAGGCTATTTTTAATTGACCGATCATTGTATGTATACAATTTTAATATGAAACCTTCTAAGAAATTTAGAAAACATATTGCTTTCTTTCATGCTAACCAAGGCATACTTTAAATAATGTGGTTGTTGTTGATTGCATTTGAGTCGATCACAACTCATAGCAACCCTATGAAATAAAGACCTGAAGTCCCTATACAACTGTCGACATTTATCAAAGTTCATAGAGTTTCTGGAGGTATGTTACTTAGGAAGTGGATGCCACTCCTGATTCCAATAGCTAAAATACTCAGAAGACGGATAAAACTTCGAAATTGGACTGCAGAAAAGTGAATAATGACCTTGGGAGCTGGCATTTGATATTTTTAACAAATGTAAAGACCTCTCTGGAATATAATTAATGTTTGGATACAGTTGCTCTGCAGAGTAAAACAAACAAGTTCATTCCATAAACACACGGGCACTGAATAATCTTAGGAAAAATTCCCATGATTTAACACCACGTCTTTATAACAGCTTTATAATTGTTTTTATATTGTTTCTAGGTAAAATGTACAGAATAACCTATCACTAAATTATTTCTAATTCTCCTGGCACCTCCATATAATGTTCAGTAGGAACCTTCACCTAAATCTCATAATACTGCTCGCTAAATGTCAACTACAGGGAGATCTCCTGGCCCTACAATCCGTATGGCACAGGTTCTGAATCCACCAGCTGATCCATGGGAGAAGGATAGACAATCTTCTCCCATGTGACTTACTGCTTCTGAAAACCTGCTGGGGGTCAGCTATGGGTTTGCTCTGATTCAATGTCACACAATAACTATGAGTAAACTTGATGACAGTTTTGGTTTTTTTTCCCCTTTCCCTTGTTGTTGTGGACCACCAGTGGTTTCCTAGATCCTGTAATTGTCTTTTGCTATAGCAAAGAAATTAAACTAACAACTAGTTATACCTAACAACTAGTTGATTTCTTGTAATCCTTTACTGGTAAATTTTGACACTCATGATGACTTCATTTCTGTTTATTTCCTGTACTGTATGATGAGAATTGTAGTTAATATGTTGTTATTGTGTACACTCAAGTAGCAACCAACCCAAACTTGACATGTCAGTGAATTTCTAAAGACAGAAAATCACAAGACAGGAGGTAGTTCATCTTTCTTTCACACTTCATCTGGTGGATTGGAACACTCCTCCTTCTTGTTGGTGCCACAACTCCTTACTACTAGGCCACCAGTAGTAATTAAATATTTAGATAGTCTAATCAAAATTTTTGTTTTTAGCATAAGGTTTTAAAAGTTTATATTAAAGAGGCTGATGATCTTTATCCCTTCAACACTGCGAATAATACCATTTATCATATAAAGAAAGAAGTATCAGGTAAGTAAGAGAAAAGGAAATAAACATTGATAGTTATTAAAAATCTCTTGGATTGCCTACACTTAGGCTATCTCAAATCATCCTCACAGAAATCATCACTAAGGTCATAACTGAAACTCAAGAAGTTTCAGTAATAGTCTCCAGGCTCATACTTTAAGAGCAGTGAAATTTAGAGAATCTCATTTTGAGCTGGAAAATATGCTTTTCTGATTCTGCTTCAACAAGAACATTAGAATAATATTTGACTTAATTCTTTCTAAGTTATATAAATATTATTATTTGTCCTACTTAAATATCAGCGGCATCATAATCATATAGGTATCTCTGGTGACCTAGTGGTAAGGAGCTGTATTGCCATCCCTAAAGAACACAGTTTGAATTCATCACCTTCTCCTCAGAACGAAGATAATGGCCTTCTGTGTAATTTATTGCCTCTGGAAACCTGCATGGAGGGTTATCTTTGAGTCATTTCCAACCTCATGGCATGCAGCATCACAATTGTATGTATAACATTTCTCAGCTGTATAAACTTGAGTCAATGACTTGATCTCTATCGTCTTCATTGTCCTCTAATACATTATGCCAAATGTGAGTAGTTACTCACTGGGCTAATATAACACCAAAAAAGCTTTCAGCACTGTTCTTGCCTCATTGGAGTCACTTAATTAATACTTTTATTATTAATGGTAAAATATAGAGAGAAAATTAAAACATAATAAATATTCCCTAGCTCAGCTTAGTTGATGGCATATAAAAATAGTCTAATTTCATACAGCAAAGTTATTTTCTATTGGTGAACTATAGCAAAGTTCATCAAAGCCACTGAGGCTATCATAATTACTATTCAATAATTAACATGCATATCTACCTAAGACAACTATTCTATTTTCTTGTCCTTCTTTAATGTCAGGGGTGCCACTCAGATAACTTTGCCTGAAACATTATTAATACTAATTAATGTGGTTTTTATTTCCTTTTAATTTGAAATTGACGCACACTTGCTTTGATTAGCTAATACAAAAGTCACTGTAAGCATAGACAGATTAATTACAAACTAAAGGATGAAGGAATAATGTTTACTTACAGTGTATTTCTAGCACCTGCATCGCTACCTGAGGGGTGGCATTGAGGGATTCATGGTCTACTCTGCAGACGATGGCCACTCCATCGTCACTCCGGTCCACTCGGAAGTCCAGTGTGCTGCTGACAGTGAATGTCTTGCGGTTTGCATCCTCTTCTTTTAAATATTTTACATCTGAAATGAAAATATAGGTCTTAAAATTCTTTTACATTATCTTTCACATTATACAGTATTTCTTCTAACTAATTAAATTCTTGAAGCACCTTTTCCTTGCAACTTTAAATTAAATAAAAAAATTAAAACAAATGTCAGTTTAACATGCAACATACTTTAATTTGATAATATAAAAATGCAACTGCTTTACAAATTAATTGTCAATTTTAATTTTAATTTTAAAAAATTAACAGCAATAAACAAGAGGGTAAGGCAGAATGTTTTTATTCTTATGGGTTTGGATTTAATGATTATTACTAAAAAAAGACTTCTTAATCTCCTACTTAAAAATATTACTTTAATAAACTAGTCTCCTATAGTAGACTTAAATTTTACTGATAGTATTAACTATCCTAACTATATAAACTACAAGCACAATTGACAAAAGATAATTTATAGCTATTTTTTTATACCCAATAAAAAGTATATTTCAGTTATTATTTTATCACAAGCAATGTGAGGCAAAGATAAATATCTTTAAAAAATGCTTAAAATGAAAATGTTGGTATTGGTATTTGGTAATGAAAAGGAATTTCTCAATTATGTGAATATATGCCTTTACCATGAAATTTACATTAAATTCTTCTTTGTTGGCTGGGGAATCTATGTCAGCATGAATGTAAATAGTGATACTTTTTCCTTGATAGGTGGCTTCACTAACACATATTTAAACTTCTTGTTAGATGGTATACTTGTGAATTATTTGCTCTTTGTGAAAAATCTTTAGTAATATCTTAATTTATAGTTTCTGAAATCTGAAGTAACTGACATATAGAGGGATAATTTAACAGACTCAAAACTATAAGGTACAACTTTTAGACACTCTCATTTTTGTTCCAACTAAAAACAACTCCCAGTCTATACCAGAAATAAACACAGCCCAGTCCTGTACCATGCTCATACTTCCTGCAGTGCTTGAGACTAATAATGCAGCTTTCATAATTTACCAGCTTTAGTATCATATATTCCCCTAAACCTTGTACTAACCATGTGTAGGAATTTAATTCCCCTCAAAGATAACATTCCCAAGGTATAGTGCCTTAAGTATTGCTATCTTTGCTAGTAAGATCCAATCTGGCTGCACTTATTCCAAGGCATATTTGTTTGTTCTTCTAGCATTATAAAAATATTTTAAATACAGCTAACATTACCAGTTCTTATTTTTCATGTTGATTAAAAAGCCAAAGAAAAGTTCTATCTTGAGAAAAATGGTTTCTTTTGCATTTAAAAAAATTACACTATGTACATTTATAGGAAGCTGATTTAAAACACCATGTTGTTAGGTGCTGTTGAGTAGAGTATGGTTCATAGTCAAACTTTTGAACAACAGACATAACCCTGTTATTAGATCTGAACTGTCAGAGCCATACAGCCTTTGGATTAGCAGCTCAGCTCCCTAGAGATTATGCCACAAAAGTTTCCATAAGTACCAGTAGCGACACTATGTATAGCAGAAAAGACCATTTTCTGGTCTTATGTAATTTTCTTGATTAATCCCGTTTCACACCTTGCTTGCTGAAAGTGTGGAAATTTAAAGTGCTTGCTGCAGAAGATAAAAGGGTACAGTATTCAATCTGGATTGTGTCTCAACATCAAGAAAATAAAAATTCTCACCAATGAAACAACAGGCAGCATCATGATAGATGGAAAAAGACTGAAATGGGCAACAACATCTTGCTTGAATCCACAATCAAGACACTTGGAACCAGTAGTCAAGAGATTAGGAGACAGATGTATTACACTGGGAAAGTCTCCAGTCAGGGGTTTCCCCAAATTTCTAAGGAACAATGATGTAGATGTGACAACTAAAGTGCACTTGATTCAGGCCAGAGTCTTTCCTATCACTTGCTAGACAATGATTAAGGATGGCAGAAGAAGTATTGATGTCTTTGAGTTATGATGTTGGAGTAGAATAGTGATTATTCCATGAACTTCCAAAAGAACAAACAATAATTTCTTGGAGTAAGTGCAGCTAGAGAAATCCTTGGGGACAAAGATGGCAAAACTTCATCTCACATACTTCAGGCATGTTGTTAAGATAGGCTATTCCTTGGAGAGGGGCATAAGACTTGGAAAACTTGGCAAAAGAGAGGAAACCCCTCAACCAGAGGTATTTACACAGTGCCTGCTACAATGATCTTGAGTGTACTAAAAGTTATGAGGACGGCACAGGCTCACCATGGATCACATTTTACTCTCTCCTGGAGTTGGAGGAAAGTAATTATAACTGTGAAAAGAATTTGGAAACAATAAATTTTAGTAATTATTTCAAGAGCATACAAAATATGATATTTTGAAGAAAATTTCAGTAATACCATTGAGAGCCTGTGACAAAAGATAGTTTAGTCTTCATTGTCTTACTCTTTGTGCCTCACTTCCATTTTGTATAAAAGAAGCTTGAATGTGTGTGTGTGTGTGTATGAGAGACAAAAAAGAGAGAGAGGGAGAGGGAGGGGGAGGAGAGACAGGGAAGGGGAAGGCGGAGAGAGTGAGAAAGATTGATTGATTTATGTGTCTCCTTCTTTCCCTGGCACTTAAAACAAGGGCTGTAGTATTCCCCATGACAGGCATTATCAGGCCTCATTTCTATCAGCATAATTCTGCTCCATGTTAAGTGTGTTAAACTCCAGCTGAGTGTGGCTGAGAGGCAGAGGATTTGCCCTTCACTCAGACCTTTCTCATATTCTAGGCACATTACTCCAGGAAGATAATGTCAACAGAGCCTTAAGAATTCTTGTGTTAAAAAGAAAAAAAAATATTGTGTCAGTCCACTCCTATACCATCACTCATAAAATGGATATTTCAGGCTTGGAGAGTAAGACAAAAGGGCCTGAGGTCATCACCTTCAGCAACATGATCATAAAGCAGGTATGTCCCATTAAGAAAGAAGTTATAGTTACATTTTAAAAACAATAACACATCAGTTTTCTAACAGAGAAATGGGTCATAGAATGAGGGAGTTCTGAAGCAAGCCAAGGGAAAATTATTTGGAAGACTGTCGAGAAGTCATGCCAAAAACACTTTTTTATTTAAAAAAAAAAAGGATATTTGTAAAATTAATAATTAGAAGGAAGTTTGTGTTTTCATAAGAACAATGTTTTAAACTCTGAGATAAATATTTGACAGAAAAAACAAAGCAGAAAAAAACCCCCAAATATTATACTTCCTATATTTAAATAGAACAGAGCAAGGAAATACTACAAGATTTAAAATCAGTAAGGGTGTACACCATGTCCATCTCCATACCCTTTCAATCTATATGCAGAATGGATCATCAGAGAGGCTGGAGGATGTGAGGAAGAATGTAGCATCAGGTTTGAAGAAAGACTCATCAACAGCTTACGTTATGCAGATGATACAACCCTGCTTGCTGAAATTGAGGAGGACCTGAAGAGCTTGCTGTAGAAAGTCAAAGACTGCAGCCTGATGTTCAACATCAAGAAGACAAAGATTATCACCACTGGGCCAATTGGCAACATCATGATAGATGGTGAAGAGGTGGAGTTTTAAACAGCTTTAGTTTGGTGCCACAATCAACACTCTTGGTATCAGCAACCAGGAAATCAAAAGACAAATTGCATTGGGAAAGTAGGCTGTCAGGGACCTCTCCAGAGTACTAAAGAGCAGTGATGTTAGTTTTTAGAGACTAAGATGGGTCTGATCCAAGCCACAGTCTTTGCAATTACTTGGTATGCATCATAGTCTTTGCAATTACTTGGTATGCATCATAGAGCTGGAGAACGACTAGTGATGATAGAAATATATTTGATGCCTTTGAGCTGAGGTGCTGGAGAAGAGTGTTGAATATACCATGGACTGCTAAGAGAACAAACAGGATCATCCTTGAGAGGGTAAAACCAGGTTGCTCCTTGGAGGCAAGGATTCTGAGGCTTTGTATGGCGTACTTTTTGCATGTTGTGAGGAGGGACCAGTCCTTTCAGGGGGACATTATGCTTGGGGGGGTGGAGGGATAGAACAGGATAAGAAGACCCTCGATGAAATGGATTGACTCAGTAACTCAGGTAATGGGGATAGGTGTGTTAGAAATGATAAGGTTGGCTCAGGATAGAACAGGGTTCAGAGCTATTGTACATAGGGTCACCATAAGTCACAAGTGACTCGATGACACACAACAAGAACAACAACGTACTCAAACAAACCTCAAAAGCTGACCTAAACACATATCTCCATGCTAATAGAGATTAGAAAATTCAGCTGGCAGATAATGATGGAAAAATGTCCAGCTGTAATACTAGCAAAGACAGACAATGTAAGAAAGAAATAAGGAAAGGTAGTGGCCAATGATAACTCTCCTTTATACTTTTCTGGTTATTATACACCTGCTAAAGACTATGCCTTCAGAGCTGTGACATCTGAAGTCTCATGCTGCAGAGGAAATAGTCTTTAGTAAATGTAAACCATTCAAGTCACTAAACAAGTAAATAACAGCCTCAGAATAGGATTGGTATCTAAAGTTGCTACATAAATGGCATAAAATATTTGTTGTTTCCAACAGATATAATGATAGACAGGGAACTCTAGTAGCCTAGTAGTAAGGAGTTTTGCTGCCAAGCCAAAGGATAGTGGTTCAAATCTACCAAAAGTTCTGTAAGAGCAAGATTAACAATCGTATTTTGTGTGATTTACAGCCTTTAAAAACCTTCTGGATGGTCAGCTATGAGTCAATTCCTACTCAACAATGCATAACAACAACATAAACATTGCAAGATTTCTAACAACATAGGGAAGTGAGATTCATACACAGAAATGAAAGTGGGAATACTGTTAGTGATAGGACTCAAATGAACTAGTTAATAAAGTATGCTCCATTGTAAATATGTTCAAAGAGGTAAATAAATTAGTTCTGGTAGCTTAGTGGGTAAGGCATAGTATTGCTAACTCAAAGTCAATTAGATAAAATCCAAGGAAGAAAGATCCACTAACAATCTCCTCCTATGAGA